ATCTTTTCTGTAACTTTTAACGACTGTTCGGTAAAACATCTGCGGAACGACATCCCTAACTAGTAAAATTGTCATTAATACATGAATGGTTTACCGTCAAAAAGTCACTTAGGAAGTACCCTAACTGACCAATCAACGCTCTAGAGGCTAAAAATTAATTCGATTCGTCATATTGTTCTGCGGAAAAATATCTATTTATATTTAATTTTTTTTATGTGGTCATTGAATAGTTATAAACAATTTTTTGTTTAAAAAATCTAATCTTTGAATAAAAATTCCGAAAAAATTCTGTAAGCTTAATTGGATCAAAACGGACATTTTTTGTATCTGAAACTTTTTTGTTTGAATCAATAGTTTTTGAGATAAAAAAAATGTCTAAATTTGAAAAATGACTACCTTTTTTTCTCAGAAACTCATCCAATCAGTATGAATAAAAAATGAAAATATTCGGTCAATCTTAAACTATAACAAGAATTTTATTTTATTTTGATTTGTACTGTTATTGATAGTGAAAACTTTATAGGCGCGTCCGCGTTGTATAATAAAGTTTTTATATTATCAATAACATTACAGATCAAAATAAAATAAAATTTCTTGTTATAATTTAAGATTGATCGAATATTTTCGTGTTTTATTCATACTGATTAGATGATTAATTTCTGAGAAAAAAAAGTCATAAAGGTAGTCGTTTTTCAAGTTTAAACATTTTTTATCTCCAAAACCATAGATTTAAACAAAAAGTTTTCGGAAACAAAAAATATCCGTTTTGATCTAATTAAGCTTACAGAAATTTTTTCGGAACTTACTTTTATTCGAAGTTTAGATCTTTTATAATAAACAAAAAATTGTTTGTGACTATTCAACGACCACATAAACAAATAAAGTGTATATAAATGTTTTTTCAAAATAATATGAAGAATCGAATTAAATCATTTTTAGTCAACTAATACGTTGATTGATCGGTGAACTGAAAACGGGCGTAAATCGCTCGTCTAAAAAAGTTACAGAATAAGCCTACAGCCCAGTAAACGAGATTGAAATATTCTCTATCCGAATGCGTATTTTAAAAAGCGAATACTTTTTTTGGATTTAATTGGATTCAATTGTGGATTTAATTGGATTCAATTGGATTTAATTAAATTCAATTGGATACAATTGGATTGAAAAACTGCATTTTTCTATTCAAAATTTTGAATTGAATAGTATTCACAATGTGCACAGAAAAAGCTAATATTATTTTTAGATTGAAAGGCATAGAGATATGTTCCATGCTGCAATTCCTATAAATGGATAAAAATGCATTCAGAATTGAAAAACGTTCATTTTACTATTCGTGAATCAATATTTCTGAAAATCTGAATTTATTTCAATTCATTTCAATCTATTCTCGTTTGCTGGGAGTTGCGCAGATATTTTACATAGTAAAAAGTGCAACTGTCGTTATGAACACATAACGAGTTATAGAACACAGGCAGAAGGATGCTTTTCTTATCGCTTACCGATAGTTGTCGATATCATTATGTGTTATTCATGCGCAGATATTTTGTATAAAAAAACTACGCAACGATAACTATCGATAAGCGATATAGAATAGTACCTTTAGCGCAGATAATTAGGTGGAATTGTAATTAAATTCAATTTAATAAAAAACAATTTGACAAACGTTTCGGGCCATCTTCAGTGTTACACAATATATTCGCTTAAATACTCTACTTGATAAATTTCCCAGCTTCTCCATGGAACATACATTCAGTCCCCAGATTGAATGCGTGGCAGATTGAATTGTTCACAGTGGTTTCGTAATCAAGTAATTAGGCCAAATTTCAAAAAGAGCCGACAGATTCTTACGCGATAGATTAGATATATTGATAAAAAGCCAGGAAATTCGTAAAGTTAAATAAAATATATTGTGTGACACTGAAGATGGCCGAGGAGGAGCCGAAACGTTTGTCAAATTGTTTTTTATTAAATTGAATTTAATTACAATTGCGTCTGACTCTCAATCGTCTTTTAACACTATATATTATTTTTTAATTTGGAGAGTCCATTACTTATAATTATTTCTAAATAATTAACTGAAATTTATAATTGTTAATATCTGATTTTAGCATTGATAAATAAATAAAAATGTATATGCGAGGAGCTTTATTGCAATTTATAGTGTAATAGTACGACAAAGAATATGTAGGCTTGGAAGATCCACACCCAAGGAAAAACAAAAAAGTCAAAATAATTGGGTGATTGAATCATGACGAAAAAATAATACAAATTCGGTCAATATTACGTCAAATTGACACTAATTAATTTAACTTCTTAGATCGACTTCTCTTTAGATCGATTGCGTTCAGCAGAATATTTATTTTGCAACTATTAGGTGTTGGAATTAATTCGTAGCGTTTTTTAATGAAAGAATGTTATTTATTTCACATGAGCATTAAAAAATACATTAATGAAAGTACTTCCCATTACTTGTAAAACGCTACGAATTAATTCCAACACCTAATATTTATTTTCTTCGTGCTGATCGGATTATACTTTTAGATCTAGAAAATGGTCCTATCTCAGCAGATAATCATAATACGATTACAAAACTGTTGTGTTCTACTGAACGCACCCACTACTTACGTAGATGACCGTAACACATATATGATTTACATAATTCACGTTGTACTTTGTGGACAATGAGATTGTAATATTTTTTTCTTAATGGGTTTTGCTCAGTGAGTAGGCTGCACTCCGAAACTCATTAAGAAAAAAGTGTTACGAATGTACAAACATAAATGTAAGCTATTATATTTTTGCATAAAGGTACAACCCTGATTTTTATTATTACGCAAATATGACGGAAGCGATACGTAATAAGATACGAATATTATAATTATCGAATAATACGAATATATCACACGCAAGTATATTTTTTAATAAAGTTAAAGGCGTACGTTAAAGAATAAGAAACTCTATTTAGGCCCATTCTACCAATGTAAATAATCTTTAATCTTGATTTAATTTACTCTTTATCTTTTTCTAAAAATTTTTAAAAGAAGATAAATACTAAAGGAAGATAAAAAGCAAGAATAAAAATTAAAATTATCTTGCATTAGTAGAAATGAATATAAGGGAAAAATTTACTACAGCAAAGTAAAACTTTCACTTCACTATGTTGATAAAGTCATGAATTCTTGGTATCTTGGTAATAATTCTTCTAGTATCGTACCCGCGATTTCATTTGTCAATACCGACAATTCCACAATGCTTCTGCAGTTTGCCGACAGAGATCGCGATGGCTGCGGAGTAACGGGCTGAATCCACAATGCCAGTATTGGATATTCAGTATAACTTAGTAGCGCAACCGCTTCTCTAGTAGCATAATTATTGGCATAATATTATCAAAATATTAGCCCAATATATTCCCAACGTTTAACTGATATTTCACCGCAAATTGCTACTAAGGTCACTATAATTTCTTACGGCTTAGAGTTTGAAGCTTAAATTTTGCGCCTTAAAATTCATCGTAGACGCCGCTTAACTATCCAATGAGCGATTGGATGTACCATTCTCTCGTGACTCATTGAAAGTCCGTTTGTTGTAAAATCTTTCTTATTTTGACAATGCTTTGATTTGATACACACATGCACTCATTAATAAAATTAATATTTAAGATATATATATTTTGTATTGTATATTAAATATATAAAACATATTTTTGTCCATTATAATTACAATTTTAAAAGAATTAATAAAACTTTTTTATTTACATTCGCATGATGAACATGTAACTTTTTTTAAAAAAACTGAAAAATATATTTAATAATTTACGTAAAAACATTATCAGCTTTTATAGAAATCTAATACTAGCTAATTTGATACTAATTAATTTAATTACTGAAAGACAATAATTAATTACTTAACTGAAGTAATAAAAGCGCTAAACAACAATGTTTTTAATATTCCAAATAAGTAAATTACTGTCTTTCAGTGTTAAATTAGCTAGTATTATAGATTTCTGTAAGATACCAAGATTTAGTCGCACTTGAGAGAGAGAGAGAGAAAGAGAGAGAGAGAGAGAGAGAGAGAGAGAGAGAGACGCTTCTTTATTATTTGCGTCATTCACATAAATGGTCTAGTTTAACGTATTGTTATAAACTTTTATATTATATCTCACACAAAACTAAGATATTTTTATTTTACCTTTGGCACAAGATGAATGAAATCACTGTGCAAAGAAATAGAAGAAGCAATCGTTATACGTCCCACTTATTGTTAGTACCTATTTCTTTCGCGTATACCCCGCAATGTCTCCAACAATCTAACGCCGATTTTTCCTCCACAAAATGCCAATATTTTTCAAATTGTAGAAGAGCTTTTCCCCGAACTAAATTTTTCTTTATCTATTGAAGGATATACCTTTCATCGAGAGTCGCAAAAGATCGCGAGAAAGATAATTAATCATCTATTCATTCGAAGGAAATTGGCATTCATATTGTTACTTCAAAACACGTTGCATTAGTTCCACACACAGGATCTACATGGCGTCGGACGGGTCGTCGCGTTGGAATAAACGGAGAAATAAAACTTGAGAGTACAATGCGTGACGTTGTTACGTCCTCGTAGATTACATACGCGGTGACCCCGAGTTTCGTCACCCCCTCCCCCTCCCCCGCAAGCGCGAAAGATAGAAGGGCGCCGACGAGAAGAGTGGCCGCGAGCCGCAGCCTTTGCGGAGTCTTATCAATATTATCAGCGGTCATTGCGCGGTGCGGTGAGGAAGGTGCGAGAGAGAAGAAGCCAACGGAGGAGATTAACGGGACGACCGGGGTGATTACGGTTGCTGATTTTAAGTGGGGATACGCAGGCGCCGTACACGATCACGCCTCCCCTCCTCTCGTTACGTACCGACGTCGCCGGCGTCGTCGTCGTCGTCGTCGTCGCCGTCGCCGTCGCCACCGCCGTCGCCACCGCCGACGTCGTCGTCGTCGTCGAGAGAGAGGGATAGAGAGAGAGAGAGAGAGAGTGAGACGTCGACCCGTCTCGCGCCTCCTCTCGCGTTTTCAGTTCTCCGACCGAACACACGACGGCGACTCGCCAAAACCACGCGAGACTCAGGTCGAAGCGACCAAGGAATCGTGTCCGTGGCGTCGCGACGCCGTTGTCGGCAACTCAAAGCCGAAAATCCACACGAAAAGACGCTTCCGAGACAATACCTCGTGATACGGGGGTGAAGGAAGGTTACGAGCACGCGGCGGAGCAACAGTGTTCGGCAACCTTCCTCTGGACTGCGTCGGCCGGAGACAGTGCAGGGGATGAACCGAGTGTCACCGTCGACCGACCGACCGACCGACCGACTGATCGAGGGTCGGAAAGCCAGCGAGAGGTCAGCGAGAGGGCATCGTATCTCTGCGATTCGGTCTACCGACCCGCAGAAGGCGTGGTGGGTCGTTTGCGCGCGTTCATCCGACTGCACCAAGATAGCACAGTTACGGAACCACGTGAAACATGGGACTGACAGTGAGATGTGAATCCAAGTATCAGTAGAGACAGGTGCGTGACCGGGTAAAGTGATAAGATCGAGAAAGAGAGAAACGTCATTTATTCCACCTCTGGATTATTATGCACCTCTGTCAAATTGGCACTCCTCCGCTACTGAAAATCGGAATAAGATATACATCAAAACTAAATTCTAATTTAGTGCTCCATTTCTGATTCTAGTGATATATTATCATGCATTGCCTAAAAACCTTGACCGATCTCTCGATAATCTTCTCCGCAGTGGTGATCTGATCGTCATGCTCATCTGTCGGTGACTCGGGAAGCGTGGACGGAGGATTTTCCGTAGCTCGACGTGGCTGTATGAGCCGAAGGGAGTCTCGAGAGAAATCGCGACAAACGACGGTGGTTGGGCATGGTCGCGGAGGATGAGGAAGAAGTACAAAAATAGCTGTCCCCGTGGTTGACCAGAGATGCACAGCTGACCAGCCACGTCAGAGAGGAAGAGAGCGAGAGAGAGAGAGAGAGAGAGAGAGAGAGAGAGAGAGAGGGAGAGAGAGTGTGTGAGAGAAAGCGAGAAAGAAAGGGAAAGAAAGAGTGAGATAAGGAAAGAGGGAGCGAGTGCCGGACGTTCGATTAGCGCTGGTGAGCGCCGCGACTCGCGTCGAGACGCGACCGGACGAAGAATCGATCCGATCGCGGCATTCCGCATAAACTCGACTGCATACACACCACGTGCCTTTATCGTTGTATCCGTTGGGCGCGCCTGTCATATTTTGGAGATCGCGACGCCTTCTTCCCTTCGCACACGGCTATCGACTTGAAATCGAGCGAAACCGAGCCGTCCCCTTGTCGACTTGTCGAAGATTCCCTTGTTCGAGCACGAGCGATTGAACTAACGTCGTGGAGATGTCCGAGCCATGCGCCTCTCCGAAGTTACCGCATTCCACGACCTCGGTTGCCGCGAAGCCTGACCCCGATCCCACGAGGTCGAACGAAGTTGGCGAATATTACGTAGGAGTGCCTGTGGTCAGAAACGTCAACTCCCGGAGGATCGAAGCCTCGAGGCTGTTGACCCTCATCGCGACGCCACCGCTTTGGTGTTACTCGATCGTATCAAAGCGCACGGTCACAAATTAAAACGTGCGAGATAAATCGGCGCGCGTCCTGTCCTGGTTTCATGGTGACGAACGGCGATCGAAGCAATATGAGACGTTGCCGACGAGAGAGGACGACAAGTCGCTTCGAAGACGGACGCTGCTGGCGAGTGACCGACGACGCATTGTCGTAGCTTCTTCTAAATCGATCGAGATTGCGCGGGAGATTCGCGAGAAACTACTACTGCTCGAGAAATCGCCAGCCACCGATTCTGAAAACCATAGGTCAATCTGTAATATCTTCGCTATAAATACGCGTTTCCTCACATACGCACGTCGAAAGTGACAACACGTGCACGTGCGAAACATCGCATGCCGGCTGTTCGACCGCAAGTGGGACCGACCTTCCCCGCGTCCTTGGCTCGACGGCTAGGCAGGAGGAACTCCGTCGTGACGCCCCGCGCCGACGATCTTAGACGTATATCTAGATAGACGAAAACTCCGGGTCCAAACATACGTCGTCAAATAGGAGACGACGTCCAAGTCACTCGCGTGCAGCGAACGCGCGAAAACGCAACCGTGCTCTCTGACAGTCCATTCGGGATATCGATATTACTGCTTTGACCGTATAGGTCTCTTTAATTGGAAACCTGGGGCTACATATAAGAAAGAAGAAAAGGGGATCGCGATACCGCGAGAACGAGCGAGACTAAAAACAACGACTGCATCCTGGTGGACTAATTCCTGTAACGCGTGAGATAGACACGGAATAGAAGCACCTGGACGAAGATTCTTTTTCCTCCTTTAGCCCTGCTAAACCCTTTCGTATCTATTAAGAAGCGGACGAAGGAAGTAAAACGGATACATCGCTGATCCGCGTGTTGTTCGATCGCAGCAACGAATCTTTCTTCTTCTTCGTGAGAAAAAGTCGCGTTACGTTACTCTACATTATTCTGTCTTATACGGCTGATCGCTATGCTCAACTCGTGCTGTGCTTTTTTCTACCGTGCTCGTGCATTCTACGTCGCGAGTGTTTTCCTAGTGCTTTAGTGTTACTTCGCGATATATTAATTGAGAGGGATCGGGCCCGGTGCGCCCCATCACACGCTTCAACGCGGAAGTCTCGGCTGCCCAGGTATCTGGGAATCCTGTTCCTGAGATGCCTGTTAGACGGGGTCACGTGGCGCCCAGAACTACGATCATCGAAACTATTATCAGGAAGTTTGATACGCACGGTAAGTTAGTCAAGAGGGGAATAGAAATATTAAATGGTCGGAGAGAAAATAAAAGAAAATCCGGATTTTTATATATATATATTTTTTTTAATAAAATGCTTAAAAGATTATCTTTAAATAATTAAAATAATTATTGTTTGAATTATTGTCTGCTATAGCCTGCCATCTTTCTGGTAAAAATTGAATTCCGCCCTTTTATCTCCACGGAATCCAACTTTTACCATGGCAAAAAATAACAAACGGCAATTATTTCAACTGAAAATAATCTTTTAAACATTTTATTATAACAAACATTTTTAATGAAAAAATCCGAATTATACTTTCTTCCTGATTTAATAACAAGGCCGAAACTAATGAACAATGCTTTCCAGAAGATTAACTTTAGTCTCAACTCACTCTTCATCTTTTTCTAATTAAAAAAAATCTAATTAAAGAACTAGAAAAAGAAATGAAAAGTAAGTTGAACGAAGATTAAAATTAATTTACATTGATGGAAATTGACGGGCATTAATCGTCGGGACATTTTCAGAAATAAAATGAAGGTGTAAATAATCATATCGCAATAATTGTTTTACGTGACCAATTAGTTTGCTGGCGAAAGAAACCATAATTCCATTATGATATAAGGTAATCCGAGAGTTGCGTTTTATGCGACAATATTGATGCTATTGCATAGCATTATATTAATTCGATAAATTATGGCAATAATATTTTTATTTGCACCGATTAATTTCGCAGTTTTTTACTAACCATACTACATGATCATTAATCAGACAAAGCAGCTCAAGATGAATACAGTATAGTGTTTCATTTGATTATAAAATGCTCATAACACATAATACTTAATTATTCATTGTTATCCCGAGTTGATATTCAAGATCGTACTGTAATATCGTATAAAGTAAGAATTAATTAATACAATAATATATCAATTTTATATTGAGTAAAAAAAATTGATATATTCTCTAGGTGAACGACTGACACGATCGTGAACGACGTTTACATGTACGCGTTCAGTTTGCGCCGTTTCGTTACCACGATCGGTTTATCTTGAAGGTCAAGACTAAAAATATATGCCTGCTCATCTTCTCAGACAGACGTGGAAACGTAATCGAAGGGAATATTGCGATATGCAGAATGTGCAGGCATTGAGCCAGAAGTTCATTTTCAATATTATGTAAAACATCCCAACTGCGGTAGGTGCAGAGTAAAGAAGGGCTCGGTTAAATGGAGGAAAGGGGTGGCTCTGTGTCACAATATGGGACAATGCATGTCACTGGCAATATCACTCCAGAAATGCCTCGAGTCCTCGCGAGAGGAGAAGCGCGGCATGGAGGAGGCTTGAATTGATTGCGAAAAGGAAGAGAGATAGATAAGAGAATGGAACACTGACGATTTCTTTTGCATTGTCGCGATTTACTGACAAGAATTCTCTTTAACGGAATTGCCTGTTTAGATAAGAATTTTGTGCATCTTATACAAGATTAATCTTACTTTAAAGAGACATGCTCTTTGTAGTTTGTGTTATAAAGTATATTTCATGTTTAATATATAAAAGGCATAAATGATTATTTTTATTTTTATATAAAAATTACAAAATTGATTCAAATTACAGCTACAAAAAGATTCAAAGTATGGTGCTAATAATACTTACTTACATGGATCAGAATTTTAATTTTGAACATACTTTGCATTATGAGGGATATATTTTATATTTGCTGATAGCAAAAAGACAAATATGAATATGGCTATTTTTATTTATATATAAAAAATAATTTATATTACAGTTGAGTATATAAGATTTGAAGTATGTATAATGTACTAATGATATATGGTATCAGCATTTTATAATTTATATGAATCGTATCTATTACAATCTATCTATATTAGAGCATTATATAGTTATTATATAGGTCAAGATTACTGATTGAATTATTATTAGGTAGTAAGAAAATTATTTCATATTTATAATACGATATTATCGTGTGACGAAAACGCGATACATAGCACAATAAAACTCATTGCCATAATGAAATGCTAATAAATGCATTCGCACGTAGTTGATATCAAATTTTTTTGAATTTGCAAAGAAATCTACGTCTTTCTCAGTTAATATGGAATATTGCAAATATACACCAAGGAAAGCAACTTAAAACTTGTTCTTATGCGTTTTAATATTTCCAAGTAACATTCCTTTTTATAATATTATTACATTTTTTTTTTAATCTTGATTATACTACTAAGAGATGCATAAACTCCAATAGCAAATAAATTCCCTCCCAATATGAAAATAAATGTATAAAATTATGTATTTAAACTACAAATTGAAATTAGACCGATAAAAATAAATCACTAAAAATAACTATTTTCGGTCAAAGTAGATTTCAGTACTTAATAATACTAAATGTAAATTTTTTGTAAATATATTATTTCAATTTTGTAAACTGCGCGCTGGATAATTATTGAACTTGAAACGCAATTGCAAACTGAAACTGAAATCAATATTTCAAATTAGATTGCAATTATCTATTTTAATGGTGAAACTAATAAACCTTAAAAAGTTATTTAAAATTATTTAAATATGTAAATGTAGATAATATATTTTTTTATTAAACAAACCATCTTTAAGGAAATTCTTAGTCAGATATTTTTTTTAGTTATTACATGATAAGTACAATATATATTAGTATGAGAAAAATTTCATGAAATCAAATATCACACTTAATATACTGACCACGATCGCATTAAAAGAATAATAATCGGCCTGTTCTTTTTAGCTACGTTTCTTTCACGGTTCATCTTTTCTCTTCTTTTCTCCAACGTGGAGAGAAAAGGAAGAAAGATGAACTTTGTCAGAGGTTCAGCTAAAAAGAGCAGGCCTAATATAATCGAATAATCTCAAAATGCAGACTATTTCCGTTCACGATTTCACGCAATAGGATTTTTTACGACACAAATAGCAAGTCTGTTCGTGTAACTGCTCTCGCCACAAATTGGAAAAAAATTCTCAGTTTACCTCATTTGATAAGCGACGCTGTAGTAAGTAATGTCGTAGCAATTAAAGCGAATGACATTAATTTAAAATGAATAATCATAATTAATCTCATTAAGTGAATGGTCGTAATTCGATGAGATTACGTCCAACGGAGGCGTCAAGTTTATCGGCACGATAGAAAAGTGAGGCTCGTAATGTGATTGGATAACAATTCCATGTATTGGATTTCAGTTCAACAACTTTTGCAGGATTGCGACTGCCGATTTCTTCGCGGCACGATTGAATTTATCCTTAACGCTTACAATCTTTACAAATTCTTTTTTTTATTACAAATCGATAGTTAAATGTGATACGAGTAGACATTAAAATGACCAAATTTTACGATAATTTATTCAATAATTTACGGTAAAGTCAGTAATTTATGGAGGCTGGTAAAAGTAATTTAAAAAAATTATAAAGATAAAGTAATTTGATTTTTAAGAGTATTTAGTCATTAAGTTAAAAAGTTGAAAAATACTTTATTTAATTTAAATTTTCATTTCGATACTACATAATTACATATTGATAGAATAATTAAGAAACTATATAGATACGTAGTAACTAGAGAAACTTCAAATAAATTTGTTATTAAAATTTTTAAAACAAAAAGTGTGACAGGTACATAATCTTATATTATATTTTTCATACCTTATAAACTTATTATAATACTTTTGCTTGCTATTTTACTTTTTAACGACTGTCATGTTTTTACTAGAGTAAAAACAAAAATAATATAATCACATATATCAAACAAAAATATATTATTTATATTTATATTAATTGACACGTTTAGTCAGTTTTGTTTCAATTAAATTATATCCTACTGAAAAAGATCAAGTAATTTGAAAAATCACAAGATATTAAAAATAATTTTATCCGTCATATGATTTTAATTTTATAGTTATTAAATTTTAAATTTTAAATAAATTAAATAATTAATTAATTAAATGATAGAAATAGAAGAAAAAAATATATATCATCTAATTTTAAAATTTTATACATAAGAACGAAAATAGAGTCTATTTGTGCATAAAATTATAGGAAACAAATTTTATCAAAATAACCAATTTACCGGAATTTTACCGTAACTAATTGTAAGATTGAATTTTACGGTATTTTTGCATCTCTAGATACGAGTAATTATCAATTATTTAATGTTGAAAATTGAAAAAAATATTAACTGTCAAACTGTAATTGAGGAAAGATAAATTCTTAGAAAAATATACGTAGTCACAATAATGATCTCGTATATATCAAAATATTGCGGAAATAATTTGAGAAATTAACATTTATTGAGAAATAATTGTCGAAATAGTTTCGTACAATTTTCCGATTATATTCTTCAAAGAATACTTTGTATCAATACATTAGTAGCATACGATCAGTCTTCAAGCTCATTCATTTTTCATTCTTTTCCGCAACACAGTCGTTGACATTCATGGGGAAAGTTCATGCGACGAAATCACGCATAAATTCATCTGCGGTAAGCGCGAGGGTGGATACGTGATAATAGACATTAACGCGATAACTTCTCTCTAGAGGGAAGACCTTCGTGCGCCAATTTATATAATAAAAAATATGTATGTGTGCCAGTCGAGCCGTGGCTTCTAATCTGACATCTCTTCTACAGCAACGACTGTCCGCCTCGGCGCATTTACCTTTTTTTTTTCTTTTCCATCACCTCCCTCGCCGCTTATCATCATCATGACCTAACGACTCTTACGACAGATCGCTCCACGTGTATTCGATATTCTTCACCTGTCCTCTTGAACGGTAATCGAATACGACGTCGCCGGACCGATTCATCTCACTGCGACGCGGACGGTATCATAATGCTACGTCGCAAAAAATTAAACAGTTTAAAGAATATCAGGAAAATCGGCGCAAACTTTTGTCAATTCGTCGACCTCCTGTGGAACGCAAGATTCTTTCTTTTAATAATTGATCAAATCTTAAGAACTGCAAA